GCACCCCTTAACCCAAATATTTTGCACCTTTTAATCAAATTTTAAAGATTTTGAGTTTAAAAAATTTTTAATTATATTTAAATTATTAATTTTAACAATATTGCATCCCATAGCTCAGGGTCTTCCACCACTGTTCATACCTTTATTATTATTATTATTATTATTATTATTATTATTATAAGATGTCTTTTAGAAAAAAAAATTAATCCTTTTTGTCAAAAAAATCTTTAATCCTTAATATAAAATATTTAATTGAATAGTTATTGTATTTTTTATTACACTAATAAGTTATGGATTATGAGAGAAATTTAATACAAATTTAAAATTTTTCATTTAAATAAAGATAAAATTAAAAATTTACTATATTTTTAGACAAAATTAATGACTTAACTATATTTCCTTCATTTTGGTGAGATAGTTAGATGTGTCCTAGAATAAGAATCAAGAGAGTATATATATATTTTTTGTCTTTTAATTTAATCTATATTTTGAAATTATAATTTAAACATGTTTATATCTAGCAATTATTATGAACTAAAAAGTATTTGCTAGTAGACAATAAATATGAACGCAAATATGTGTGTGTTTTCTAAAATTATAAAAGAATAATGAAACTTTCAATATCTTAAATTTGTTTCAATTCTCTATTTAATTCTTGAAATTTAATTTCTATTAATTTTATCCCTTATATCTTCTTAAATTACCATACTAGTCATTTAAGTTTTAAAACATGAATTAACTCTCAAATTAATATAATATGTAAAGTATATTAATGATTTGATATGTTTATATAACTAAAATGAGAATAAATTATTCATCAAATTACTTTACTTTTTATTAATTAGTTCTTTACATTGTTTTGTGTATTTTGTTTTTCTTTTATTTATGAGTCTTTTTTTACTTAAATAATTACACTTCTTTTTATTAATCTATATAATTGTCATCAAATATTCCATCATCCATGTCACATATTTCAATAGTTTTTCTTCCTCTTTAAACAATGAAGACCAAATTGATAATTGAGACAAATATAAAAGACTAAATTGATAAAAATTAAAATAAAAAAACTAAATTAATAATTGAGATAAATTTAAGGGACTAAAAGTTTTATTATCCCAATTATAAAGTATAAAGTTATAAACTAATGATATTATAGATGTCTTGCATATAATAATTTTAAGGAACTAAAAAAATTAAGCTAATAAAGTTATAAATTAAAGGAGTATATATTTGTTTTTTAAATTAGTAATATTTATTGACTTTTTAAACCATGTTCTTTCCTCTTACTTTTACTCAAATTTAATTTTTTTTAATTTTATTTTTATTTGGAAAAAAATTTAAGTATAACTTTGTTTATCTTTACATAATATTTTGCTTGATTCAATAAATAGTCTAAGTTTAGTTTTGGCAAAAGTATATGCTTGATCAGTTAACTTCATACAAAATGTATTCTAATCCTTTAATTTTAATTTATAAAGTGTCTTTTTAATATTCTAACTCTAATACTATTAGTTTTATTAACAAAAATTCCAAAATTGTTTCACTTCAAACATGTTATCTCTATTTAACAATTTCAATTCTTATTTTAAAATGTATATCTTTATATCAATACTATTTTATTACTTTCGGAAGTGGATATTTAAATAAAAGTTCTTTACACAAACAATGCCTTTAATATTTTAATACTATTGGCACTCTCCTGTCAGGGCATTAATTGCATTATATTAAATGCACATGACATTTGTTTAGACCAAATTCGGTGCACTAGGCCTAAAGGAGGAATTATTGACGCCCAATCAAGTTTTACAAGAATACAACTTCAACAACCAATCGGCCCTGAGAGAATTAAGGGCTTATTTGGTATGTAACATTTAAAGGTAAGTATTAGGATTGAGTTAGAGTAATCCTGACTTTTACATGTTTGATATTAGGCATTTACTAATACTTGAGATTACTCAATCTCACTTAAAATATTAAAACTCATCCACCCCTGGTATTGGTCAATCCCACCAAACTTAATCCTGAGTTGATTATTTTCATACTAAAAATGTCCGCATCTCTCCTCTCTTCCCCATCTCTCTTCCTCTGCTTCTAGTCGAGCACCGATCATGTCGTCTCTCACCCTCTGCCCTCCTCTCAATTAACCTCTTCCAACGGCACTGCCGCCTCCTCCACCAACACCTCATGAATAATCAAAGACCTCAAATATGAGATCCAGAGGAGATCAAAGATGTGATGCCGATGTTGTCTCCTCCACTAATGCCGTCATCTCCTTCAACGACGTAAGCTATTCTTATTGCCATCATCGTCTCAAGTCATCTCCCTCTAGATCACGTCCCCATCATTTTTGTGTCTCCTCCTTTCTCCCTCCGTCTGCCTCTCATTGGTTCAAGTTCGAATCAACTTGCCTTTAGATTTGGTTTAAGATTGTGTTTAAGATATATTTATTAGATCTAGTCTAAATTGTTTTTGTGTGTATGAGATTGAGAATGCTTGGATTCAAGCTTGTGGCTGGACTTGTTCTCAAATGGAGTTCCAAAAATGAGTTTCAAATTGTGTATTTTCTTTTTGCAATATGGGTTATTATTCTCTTTTGATTATAAAATAAAATTATTATAAGTATTCCATCCAAATATTACTCGTTATTAAACATATTTTTAAAATTTCAATCCTAATTGTAGTTCTAGTCACAATCCCAATCCCTTTAAATTGGTGCATGCATACCAAATAAGGTCTTAGTAGAATACCCTTTTTAGAGAGCTAACATTTCTAAATGTTATTAACTAACTTTTTTAAATTAATTAAAAGTCCTTATGTTTAAAAAATAATATGTAAAATAAAATAATTTCACCTTATAAATTTTTATGCAATAACTTCTATCGTCTCCAAAAAGCTTTGTTTTGAAAAATTTGTACTCAGGTGGAGGCAATTTCTCCAAACTCTACATCTACGGTCCTAGTTCATGTTCTAGAAGGTAATGAGCGATTCCAATTTCCAAATATTGGTTATTTGGCATGAATTTTTGGGATATTTAATGTAGAAAGAGTTTGATCTTCAAAGTAAAATCATTAATTAACGATAAAGATGAAAACTTATTTACTTTTGACACCGATTTAATAAGAACACATGCTTTTATTGAATATGATGATAAAAGTAATTAATTTGTTTATCTCAAAAAATGCTTTTAGCAAATAAAAAAGTGCTTCACACTATTTATTTATTTATTTTATTTCCAATTAAAAATGGTAATTGCATTTAATGAAGAGTATATTTAAAAAGATTGTTTTTCTCATATCCAGATTGAAAGCTTTTTGAACAGTTTCTTTTTTGGCCAAAATCTTTTTACAAAAGATGATTGACATCAACAAATTTGACTGGTCCTCGGTTACTGCCATTGAATGTGAGTCGACCGGACAAACGGAGAAAACACGCACGCGCGCATATAATACCATTGCAGTCACTGTACTTAAGATTTTATTTCTTGTAATTTTTTTTGGTGATATTTCATTTATTTTATCTCTCTTGATATTCTTATTCCTATACGATGACATGCAAAGTTCTCAAAATTCATGAATTTAAGTAACTCCACAGTAAGGTATAAATTTATAAGAATTTATTTCTATTAATAAATAATTATTAAAAATATATACTTAATTAATCAATTATAATTTCATTTAAATATATTTTAAATTAAAATTATTGAAATTAAATTTATTTATATTGACATATTATCATGCTCAATATAAAAAATTTAAAATATGACAACTTAGTATATATTTAATTTTTTAACTAATTTATTTACAAGTTTAATTAAATTTATATTTAATTTTAATTTATAAATATAAAAATGATAGATTCAGAAAGTCGGCTTATCAGTTTTGGAACAATGATGGCAGGGAATGACTTTTTAACCCTACTTGATTGTCTGTCTAGAAAATTTGACATTCCTGTGTGTACTATGTATAAACTACCCCCTCAATCTTTTATCATAAAAGAAATTATCCTATATTTTATTATTTTTTATTATAAATAAAACTACAAAATTTAAGAGACATTAGTTATATTTTTCTTATATTATTCCTCATAAATAGATAGTATTATCACTAAATTAAAAAAAGTAAACATTAATTATAAATACATTTTAGTTCAAATATTTTAAATTTAAATATAATTATTAAGATTAACTGATTTTTTAAAATTACGCGAATAAATAAAAATTCCCATGACCACTTGAAGTGATTTTTTGGAGGTGGTCAAAGATATACTGAAAGGTAATATTGACTTTCATGACCACTGGAAAGAGACTCTTAAGAGTCAGGAATTTTCTATATGGCCTGGCTCTTTATGTGCACAGTCTATGTCGCCTCAAGATTATAAGTTCGGTTGCACCAAACATGATCAGTTTTTAATTTGATTTTTATTCAAAAAGTTTAGAGCGAAACTCGTAAATCCAATTTTATTATTTTTTTATTTTTTAAAAATTAAAATTTTCAATCATAATATCTTATATTTTTTAAAAATACAAATTATCATCTTAAAAAATTATAAATAAATAATTAAAACTCTAATTTTGAGTTAGAAATATATATTTTAAAGTTTAAATTTTCTGAAGATAAAACAAGAATGAGTTTTAAATGAATCGCTCAAGCTCAAGCTTCTCTTTTAAAGACCGATGAGAGTCGGGTTTCAAAATCTCTCTCTCTCTCTCTTTTAATATTATAATTTTTTTAAAACTTAAATTCTTATAAAAATATATTTAAACAGGCGATACTGCACACCCGGTTCTTATCCCTAATGTGCATGCCACGGGCGCTTAATGTTGAAGCTGATGTGCTGGTAAAGAATAGAATTTTTTTTTTTGGCGATGAAAAGGAAGACAGAAGGCCTGAGACTTCCAACCTTAGCTTTATTTATTCTCTTAGGAGGATCCAATTCTTTCGGCTAAATGCGTCAACCTTAGGACTTTTTGCTGCCTTATTTTGGTTTTTGTGGTTTTGGGTCGTGTTTTATTTTCTTTCTTATCAAAAAAACAATTAAAATTCTCTCATGCGATCTTGTTATTTTATTCAGTTTAAACCTTGCGAGTCACGACAACTGACTGACAGCCCCAATCCACCTTCCTCTCTCTCTCTCACTCAGCCTTACGTGTGCGTGCCTTCTCCGTCTCTGATCCGAGGAGCTCGACGGCTTTCCTTTCTGGGTCGTCTCCCTGTCCTTACCTTCCTTTCTGTCTTCCTTCGTCGATCCGCTTGGTATTCTATTCTATCTGTGTCTCTCGACCTTCATCTCCCTTTCGTCGTCGCTCACTTTTGTTTTTTTCTTTTCAATTTTTTGTGCTTTATCTCTCGACCTTCATCTGAATTGGTGGATTTGGAAGTTCTTTTTGTTCTTTCAGGTGTAATCTCTCGACCTTCATCTGTAGTCGTCGTGAAGAGTTGAAGGTAATTTCGAGCTTTATGATACTTTCACTTGCTTTTGGTGATGTTTCTGCCAGGACTCATCCGTCTATTTCCCCGTAACAGGATAGATACAAAAACTGTATCTTTTTCGTGCTCTGTTGTATAAGTGAAAATCCAATTCTGTTTCTTTCTATGTTTTGTCACACATGGTTCTGTTTCATGTTCGTTATCTGTTTCATACTCTTTTGGACCTCATCTTTGTAAAATACAGTCTTCAAAGCTGTTCCATGTTCTTTTCACATAAAAGGGGATCGCTTCCTGATGATAAGAAAGTTCCCAGATTCTTAGTAGTTTAGATGGTAGATCAACCAACTGGATTAAATGAGTAAATTTGCGATGCTATGTAGATTTTCAGTTGTTTCAGGTGTGGCTGAAGGTGGAGGGGATAATTTTTATGACCAATGATTGTTGTGGAGCGGCTCTTTTATTATTATGGATTATGCTTGTATGATTTTTTTTGTAATATGATTCATTAATTTCGGTTGGATTATTTATATATTTTTTCTTACTTAATAACATTTGGTAAATGACAAAGCACACAATTGTCGTGCAATTCATGTAGTCAATCCCATCTAGTTGGATGAGGCTTCTTCTTGTTATTGTTATAAATTTTTTTCTTGTGGCTAGCTGTATTATCTTTATTTTGCAGGATTTATTACTTCTTTTTTTTTTTTTTAATCTTTGCTCACTGAATGGCTTATAGTAAAGATCGTACTACTATGATATTTCATTCTTCTAATTTCTTCATGAGATATATGATATTTACATTTGCTTCTTACCTGTATACGGATTTGGATATGCTGTATAACTGATAATTATGATTAACCCTCATGCTTTTGAGCATTGAGTCATGCTATGAAAATTTATGCAGCTGTGTAATTTTCCTTGTTGATGCATATTTGATGAAAGTGTTTAAAATTGAACGTTTACCTAAAATTGACAGCTCAGCACTTATGTTGACATAGAAATGCATGCCACCTATGCTTAAGCATCATGGAGTGATACCAGGGTTTCCTATGTCTATACCTTTTACCTGAAAGCTGGCAGTTCAGCACATATGTTGAAATCTTTTTTGACTAAGAGATGCATGCCACTTTTGCCTAATCATTTAAATGGAGCTTGAATTAGATTTCATGGTGATGCGTGCACTGTGCATGTTGTGCCTTTTAAATTGGAGTAATTGTCTCAAGACCATTTATTGTAATTATTTTATGAGTATATGGTTTCAGAGAATCTATAAGTACTATGAACTTCAGTTAGGAATGACTTTTCTATAAAGTGGAAATTGATTTAACTCAAATGCCATAGTGACTGGTAGCTGTATTTAATACGTAGGCAGTTTGCGGTTCCCTTTTGGATTAGGGTTGGAGGAGAGGGTTATAGTATTATATATCTTTTAAGTATTAGGAACCAATAATTAAGCTAGTAAAACTAGCATTTCATAATTTAGATGGGCTCCACAAGAGTAAGAATGAAAGAGAAGTCAGGATTTGCTTGTATGTTGATTGGCTGGAGTAATAATCATAGAGATTCAATGTTCTAATTGGCCTCTTAATCATCACCATCCAAAACTATTGTAGTATAAATTTACTAGAATCTGAGACACACATACTCATTTGTATATTATTCTAAAAATATAATCAGCTGGCTTAATTCAGCTTTTCTTGTTTGATCCTTATAAAGTAAATGAATCTGTTTAACTAATTCTTTCTCCAATATATCCCAAGTCCCCAACCATTCATCATGGGTAAATATATTAAAATGGAGGAAACAAAGCAAGTCTAATCAGTGGATACTGGATTGGCTAAGAGTAGGAATTAGAAGAAAGATAAGATGAAATCTTCTGGTTCATAATACTGGCACTTTCCAGTCAATACTGAATAAAAGGTCCATCTCTATATCAGTAATAGATATACTAGCGAACTTAAATGTTCTTCAAATCCTCGATGATGGTGGTTTGATCCAAAGGCTTTGAGTATTATAGCTTCTCTTACCGTAGTAAGGGCAACTGTGTGGAAAATATTGTTTGATGTGTTTTAATGGAGGAAAGTCTCATGTTACTACAATGTTTTGCAGGATTTGATGAGATGCATGCTGATTCGGTTGTTAATGCAAATTGTCCTGATAAAGTATGTTTCCATTATTTACTTTGATCTTTTAACTTCTAAAAACTTTTAATGAATCAAACATTGCGATTTGTCAATATTCTATACAATGGTTTATATTTTGCCAATACCAGTATCCTTAATTAACACTCTTTCCTTGGTTTGGCTACAGGGTATGTGAAGACAATACTTCTAAATACCTGCCAACAACTTGTATGCATATGTGAATCTTGTCGATGGTGATATTTATTGTGTTCAATCGCCGTACTTGTCTTTCCACAGGATATCTTCAACAATCTGTTTACTATACATCAGAAACGCTGCCATCAAATTCACAGGATGATTCTGATGTCCAAAATGGAACCACCGGTAGTATCTCAAGTGCAGAAAGCAGTCCAAAATCTCTTACTTCAGAAAACTTGAATGATTTGAAGTCTACTGACATAAATGACGACTTGACTAGTGAATCTCCTGAGTCTATACCTGATACAAAAATGGAGAAGAAAATAATAATGAAGGTTATCTGTTTCATTTTGTGGATATTTATTTTGTTGCATCATTTATAATAACCATTTTCCAAGTTACTGCAGTTGTTATTGCATTACCGTACAGCTCCTTAGTTCACATAATTTATGAAGGATACAAATTAATTTATAGTTTATCATTATACTTGTTTATCTACACTGTATTTCAGATTCCCCGGTTGCGCCAGTTGTCATATTGTCTTTAGTATTTTGTTTGTCACTCCATTTACTTTTCCAATTCAGAAAGTAGAAACAATGTGCATCAATTGCATTATACATATCCCTGCTTGCAAGGACTTTCTCTAAAACTTCAGTGTTTTAATGTCAATATTTTATTGCAGGTGCCTTTTTTGGAATTTAACTTCTCAGCAGTTGGCCTACCAAGGCTCCAACACCCAATAGGAAAATCAACTTCAATAGCCAGCCAAAAGCGACCTGTCTTACCCCCCATTAACTCCACGCCAAATGGAAGAACACCGAGTATAAATGACAGACCCATGACAAGAGATAAATTAACCTGGAACCCACAGCATGAAAAGTCACGAGAACTAACTCATGGTCCTTTATTAGCTAGCCAAAAACGACCTGTCTTACCCCCCATTAACTCCCAGCCAAATGGAAGAACACACAGTATAAATGACAGACCCATGACAAGAGATAAATTAACCTGGAACCCACAACATGAAAAGACACGAGAACCAACTCATTGTCCTTCATTTGCTAGCCAAAAACGACATGTCTATCCCGCTACTAGCTGCCATCCAATTGGGAGAGCACAGAGTTTGAACGATATACCTATGCCTTTGTCAAGAGATAAATTAAATTCGAATGCAAGATTTGAAAAGTCACCAGAACTAACTTATGGTCCTTCATTGGCCAGCGACAAGCATGTCTTTCTCCCTCCTGATTTCCAGCCATGGGGTGGAACACAGAGTACAAATGATAGACCTGGGTGGAGTGACAAAACCGTGTCAAAAGATCAACCAAGTTGGAGCACAGAACTTGAAATGTCACCAGAACTAATTCGTGGTCCCAGGTGTTATGACAGGAACTTGCAGTCAGAGCCATCATCTGTTAAGCAAACGTTTGGTTTTTCAATCTCTAGAGATAAATATAACCTTCAAGAATTTCAGACTCAATATGAAAATGCTAATTTCTATGTATTGAAATCTTTTAATGAAGATGACATCCATAAGTCCATTAAATATAATGTTTGGACAAGTACTTCAGTTGGAAATAAGAAGCTGAACGCAGCTTTCCTAGATGCTGAAGCTAAATCAAGGGAGACAGGCAAGAAGTGTCCAGTATTCCTCTTCTTCTCTGTGAGTTAAAATCTTTTTCCAGTAATTGTCTCTAATTTTACTTTTGTTATAATTATGGCCGTCAAAATTTATGCTAGTATTGCTTTATTATTAATGTGTTGAAAGTGCTATATTGTAGGTGTTTTGGACTTTTGGGCAATTTCACATTTTTATGATAAGAAATCCCTGCTCCTGAATAGGATCTTAATAATTCTGTCTTGTTGGATGCTTATGTTATTGTTGGCGTCACTTAAAAATAAACTCATCATATACAGAAACTACATAGGAAAGAAACTTCTTTGATATGAATTGTGGATTTTAATCTTTCTTTGAGATGTCTTATCTTTTCTAAATGATAAATCTGAAATGATATCTTTACTGCTTAATAGAAAAATATAGACATCGGCCTAAATCAAAATTCTCTCTTGGATTTTATGTGAAAAGAAGTAATAATTTACTCCATTTAATGGCTATAACCATTTAGCTAAACTGTTGCCGTTAAATTTAAACAATTATTACACGTGTTTCTTTTATGTTTTATTTTCCTTTCATGCTGCCTGTTACACGTTACTTTTTTCTGTAAGTGTTGTCTTTAAATAATTATCCAGGAAAGAAAATGTTTAGTATAATCAGTTAACAAAAGACAAGTAGCCATTGTGAAGAGACATGTAAGCATGTCAATACGCTTTTTAATACACATGTTCAACTTACCTATATATATATATATTAAATGATTGATGAGGTCTATCTTAGAAACTTTAATTGATGAGTTGTCATAAATTCTCAAATCATCAGGTCAATGGCAGTGGACAGTTTGTTGGAGTAGCTGAGATGATTGGACCAGTAGATTTCAACAAAGATATGAGGTTCTGGAAAGGGAAAAAATTCTATGGTTTCTTTCCAATCAGGTGGCACATAATTAAGGACGTGCCCAACACTCAGTTTCGGTACATTGTCCTTCCAAACAATGATAACAAGCCCGTAACTTACAGTAGGGATACACAAGAGGTAGCTTTTACTTTCAAAGTTATTAAAGGGCACCTGTGAATGCTTTCATGTTGAATTCTGCTAGTTTTGGACCAAAACTTAGCATTACTGCGTCACTTTCTTTCTTTCTGATGTTAGGATGATTGCTTGCTTCCTACAGTCTGACTCAGTTATTTTATTTACATAGATGGTAATGGGGAAACAATATCAGTGTTGTTGTAGGAAAGAGGAAGCTTTTGGTCTGATAATATTTTACTATATTAAAGTGGAAATCTTGGTGCAGTGGAATATGATTCATTAATTTGATATGGTAACTTTAGATCATGAATATTTTGAGAAACTGTGATACATATATTGATGGCAAAGAGCATAATGTCTTTCCATTAGATTAACTTGAAACACCTGCAATCAATTTTTTTTTTTTACCAGTCAATTAGCTAAAGTGGATCATACTACCATGTATGCATAATTGTCAAGGTTGGTAGTGTATATAATTTTATCCTCGAACTTGAATAAGGATCTTTTATCCTTTGTATGTATAAAGTAATTATTCATTCAAATGTTTTCCTTTGGAAGTTAATAACCAGTTGAGGGTAGTAAACTTCACATTAGATGTTTGTGATGAATGGAATGTAAATTGAATTATGCTGTTTCAATATTTTGTTTGCATGTGGCTGGACAAACATCTTGTTTTATTAACTAATTTTTTTATTATATAAATTGTAGGTTGGACTGAAGCAGGGCATGGAAATGCTTAATATTTTCAAGAGGTTCTTAGCAAAAACATCTCTGCTGGATGATTATGACTTCTATACCAATCGAGATCCCAAAAAAAAGGGCGTCTCCTGCTCAAAGTAGTACGAAGCACACAACTGTACAAAGGAATCACCCTTCTTCTACGACTGCTATGTGAGTCTATACTGTTTCTCAGAAAAAGCTACCACTAGCATACAATAATATGATATGTGCAAATGAGTGGCATTTCATGTCCAAATTTTTGTTCTAATATTTATCAAATTGTTTGCTATCTGGGATACCAAGGTCTAACATATGATTGGTATATGAGATTCTGATACTTGTTGTGAAATTTGAAAACTGTCATAGAAATTATATAAATTGTGCAGTGAAATTGAGGGTCAAGAATTTGGGATCCTACAGAAGGCTAAAAGGAACACTCAATAATGATGCTATTGAAAAGAGATTCCTTGGTTAACAATGAATCAAAAGATTTGGTTGTTGATAAAGTACAATGACATTGTTAGATCAATGTAACCAACCATACCTACTGAGATAAAGTTTTTTGTTGTTGTTGTTGTATGCTTTTCAGCATCTTGAATGACGTCAAGCCTCTTTGCATACTGCTTATCTGAAATCCCAAGGTCGAGATGAAATTAATTGAAATTCTTGGTGCTTTTGGATTAATGAGGATTTGAATTTGAATTTGGATTTGGTCCATTTCTCTTATTTGGATACACAAAAATTTATAAATTTAGATTTGATTCAAATCTAAATCGATTTCTTATTATAATTCCTTTGTAATTTCAAATTACCTCTACATCCTAATCATTTAAAGTTTTAATCATTTCAAACATTTTGTTCTCCATATTTTTACTATCGATACTTCTATGACTTGTATCTTTTTTCATTTCTTATTTTGTATCTTGTCAATTAAAGCCTGTCATTTTCAATTTTTCATTTTATTTGGAATCTAAACTCATCTAATCTGTTTCAGTCAAAAATTTTTAGGCTATCCAAACAAGATATTTTAATTACATGAATTTTAAATGTAAGATTTGAAATGTGAAATTTTAAATTTAAAATTTAGATGAAAGTCTATCAATCCAAATGCTGTCTTAGTGTTTGGAATATTCCTTAATTTGTTGTACAAAATGGAAGCCCACAACAGTTGTTTAGCTTTTTATGCCATGAATCACGTATATATGATCTGACACGTGCTAAAGTAAATTGTATTTTAGCATTCCTGAGACTTCATGATCATTCCATTTCTTTGCAGATGATTACGGAGGGAGATAAGATGAAATCAGGTTGCTTCTGCCCAGATGCTAATGCATCTCTCTCTCTCTCTCTCTCACACGCGCACACACAATGAGAATCTGTTCATATGCTTAAAGTTTTTATTGTTAAAAAAAAAAAAAACAGCCCGTCAATCATTCCTATCACTATTTCAGTTCGTTTTATATGATCCTAGAGTTACCCCCTCCTTTTTTTTGTGTTGTTTTTTTTATTCCTTTTAAAAATAGGGTTGCATAGAACAATCAGTTCAAGTTCTACTTGTTGAGTTTTAATACATTATTAGGTTCAAGCTTATGCTTTGTCAGGTAAAATCAGAATAAAAAAAGTCAAATATTGGGAAACAAATTCATGTAGGAATGAATAAATGTTGCGTCTTTTGATTCCTATTACTAACAAATTAGTGCCTGTTTGGTTAGGCTTCAAAATCAATTTTTGTGCCTGAAATTGATTTTTAAAATGAAATTACCCAAACGGCTGAAAAAGGACAAAAATCAATTTGTATTATTCGTGTTTTCCAGATGGAATCAGCTTTTGCCAAAAGTGTATAAAAAATGTTGGAGAAAATTACAAGAGAAGGGCCACAAAAAAATTACAAATAAAGCACATAATTTAATAAAAATAAAATTAAACTCTCTTCTCTTCTCTCTTTTTTTTTTCTTAATAAAATTTAAATTTTATATTCTCAAAAAAATTAATATTTTATATTTAAGAATTAAATTATATAGTAATTTATATAATTAAAATTGATTCTAATTAAATTATTTAAACATTTTTAATTCTATTAAAAGTAATTTTAGAAAAACAGTATCTAAATAAATTGTGTTATAGCATAATTATGATTAAAATTTATCATTTAATTAATTATTTTTATAATTTATTATATTCAATTAAAGTTCGCAATTGATTTTTCCCTGCAGTGATCTTGTTGGATAGGTAAACACCTAACTGACTGAATAATATATTCGAGTTCTATTGTTCTGCTCTTTTATTCAAGTTCTATTGTTAATTTCGATTCTAGGATATGGTACTGGTTTGTTAACTAGTTAAAAGTAATTTCGTAATTTTTGAAATGAAATTACTCGCGCATTAATTTGGTCTAAACATGGTTCTAACATAACCAACTTACTACACATTCTGACTTTGTTATTGGGCTTGTGGAAAGGGTGGTACAATTTTAAATGAAATTTCGTAATTTTTGAAATGAAATTACTCGCGCATTAATTTGGTCTAAACATGGTTCTAACATAACCAACTTACTACACATGCTGACTTTGTTATTGGGCTTGTGGAAAGGGTGGTACAATTTTAAATGCCTAGTCTCAGATTTTTAAACTTGCTATAAAATTAGTCATGTGGTTCTATTTATAGGACAAATTTGGTTAATAACAAAGGTTGATTTCATTTTGTTAATAACAAAAGAATTCAAGTACTAACAAAGGTTGATATGGTTAGTAAGAATTTGATTCATAATCTATAAAGTCATGTGTTCAAATTTTGCTAATGTAAGAACCTTATAGATAAACGATCCTTAAATATCTTTATAAGTGCTCTAAGTCTATACCTCTAGTTTTAATGAGTTTTCAAGACTCAACCCTCCTCAAAATTTTCATACAAGAAAATGAATTCAAGTATTCAAGCAAAACTCATTTAGGTTTAGTCTTGGTCTAAATATTTTTTTGGGTCTATTTCAATTACTCAAATAAACCTGAAATAAAGAAAAAAAAAATTCTAAGCTCTTAAGCCAAATTCATAGCTTTTTAGGTTTATTCAAACTAACTCATTAAATTTAGCTCAAATGACCTAATCTCATAAACTAATTTTCATCAATGAGGCATTTTTTTACTTTTGGTAAGCAAAAAAAATTTTAAAGGTATGTTTGGTTAGGGGGGAGGTCCCTCCCCTCCCCCCCCCCCCCTTTTTGGTTAGGTGGAGGGGAGCTCCTCCCCTACCCTCCCCTCCTTTGATTTGGTGGAGAGGACCCTCCTTTACAAAACCTCCCTCTCCTTCCAAATTTGGAAGGGAGGGAGCCTCTCTCCCCTCTCTTCCTTCCTCTTAAACCAAACAGATCCTAAGGCTCACTCAACCAAAAAAAGCTACAGGAAACATTCCTATTATCCCTTAATTAACACAACATCGTATAATGGAAAGGGAAAAGGGGGAAAAAATTTAAGAAAAAATGATGAAATTTTTTTTTAAAATTATATACATTATAATTAATCTCTCAAAATATCATAATTTTACTAAAGTTTTTAAAGATTTTTTTGTTATTAATAAATTTATAAAAATAATTAAATTGTCTTTGTTGAAAATAAAATAATCACAAGTTTTGTTTAAATAATTACTATTTTTATTTTTATATTCACAATAATACAATGAGAAATTACAACTTCGTATATCAAATTTTTGATATTGCTACAAATGTTAAAAATAACAAATAATGATCACAAGTTTTGTTTAACTAATTACAACTTTCTTTCTTATATTCACAATAAACAGCAACAAATCACAAGTTCACATGTTAACTTTCTGATATTGTTACAAGTGTTGAAAATAACAAGTAATAATCACAAGTTTTGTTTCAATTATCACAACTTTGTTTTTTCTATTCACAACAATGTAATGAAAAATTATAACTTTGCATGTCAAATTTCTGATATTATTACAAGAATAATTTAATCATTTATATAAATTCATTAATGATAAAAAAATTTTAAGAATTTCAGTGAAATTATAGCATTTTAAAGGATCAAATTGTTATTTGTATAAGTTAAAGAGATTTTATTATCATTTTTCAAACTTTAATGGATGAAAGACAAGGAAAGAGAATAAATGAATTTATAAAAGGGCTCTAATTTGGAGGGGAAGGTTAGAAGGGGAGAAAATGAAAAATTTACCATTTTGTTTTAGTCAAATAAAGGCTCCCATTTATTTTTCTTTCTAAATGAAAGGAGGAAAAATTCATTAAAAATCATGAGTTGCTTTATATTTGATGATTTTTTTTTGGCCTGGTATGTATATCTATATTTAGATGTATCATATAAGAAGACAAATATCCTGAAATTATCTAATGATATCATTATGAAAATAATATATAAAAACCTATGTGTTACTTTACCCCTTATTCACTTAATTAAACATCTATCATCCGGTAATCGGTTTAGTCTTTCATTTATTAAAGGTAAAAGTGAAATATTGGTGTTTTTTGAGTTCAAAGTTGTAACCAATTTTTTAAAACAAAAAATACGTCAAGTAGTTAAAAACATTGTATAATTATATATTACATTCGTTCAAAAAATATAAAGCATTTTTAATTAAATTTTATCCTTCAATAAAGTAATTATTTGTCTTTGAATTAACCCTATTTTTTTATATTTACCCTCATTTAATAGTGTTTCACCCTAAAAATATATAAAGTGATATATTCAATAACAGCACTTTTAGAAAAAAAAAATATAATGATTACACCTTGAAAGACTTAACATCCAACTCCTGAAAAAATGCCTTACATTTTTTAACGGAAGGAGAATATAATTATATTTTCAAAAAATTATATATACCAATAAAATTCATTAACTAGACTGTACAATCTTATTTTTAAAAATTGTCTTCATTTAAAAAATTGTTTTCTAATACATTTTTTAAAATTATTTTTTAAACAAAATAAAATAAAAATTTGTGTGGTTATGTCAACTAAAAAATAATTTTAAAATTAAAAAATAAATAAATAGTGATAGTTATAGGTAGTTAATGGTGATAATTAATGATAAAAATTGGTCAGAGCAACAATAATTTTTAATAATTAAATGTAGCATATTTTAAAAATAAGAAAAATAAAATGAAAACAACTTGAAATTGTTTCTATTTTTTATTTAAAAAATGAAAACAGTTTTAAAAATAATTAAATGAAAAACACTTATCTAAACAAGTTTTAAATTTTTTCTATTTTCAAAAACAAGAAATATTTTTTAAAAACATAAAATAAAAGAGGCCTAAATCACCTCTAAAAGCGTCAAATAGGCTGGAAGGTAGAGACTATTATATATTGAACATGGCTATGTTTCTTTATTTAAAATAGGATTAATTATTAACTTGTCAAAAAGATTCTTGTGATGAATGATGGTTCGTTTAATTATGCATTTTGGACGTGAGATAGAGTTCATGCTGTGCTGTGTATCATCTCTGTTACTGTTTATCGACTGGTAATTAGTATAGCTTTTTCTTTTGTCCCAACTAAAAATAATAATTATTTCTTCAATCCATTTAAAAGTTAAATTTCTATATTTACATGTTAAATTTCAGTATTTACTATTCGACAAAACCTATAAATAATTAGTTTATTATTTTTAATAGAGTAGAAATAAAACCAAAAACAACAAAACAAAGTGAAAAAACAGGGCTAAATCACTTGCCCAGTTGGAGTAACATTACCTAGATTAGACACAGGGATGGTGTGAAATCCCAAAAGAAGACCCATAGCCCTTTTTTTTCTTAATAACGAGCCGCAGATAAAGTCCCTGCAAAAAGGTCATGTCAAAGTACCATAAAGTCATGCACCCATTGGATGGAATATCAAGAATTTTAATGTCTAAATTATTGTTTCCAAGCTGGAAGCCAATCAATACATTTATTTACTTAGTTAAAAACTTAATCAAACGTGATTATATAATCTCTCACGATAAGTTTCTTTATCTTTTTGGTAATTTTAATGAGGAAGTTGGTTATTAAAAAACTCATATCAAATAAATGTGAAAGTTTTAAAAAAGAGTTGAAATAAATATTAATTTTATCAAACTCATCATTGCAATAGATTTTCTCGATAATTTTCACTCAGCTCTTTTAGCAAAACTATCTGCTTCAGTACTCTAATCACGTCAACTTCCCACTCCCTCTGTATCAAGTTCTTCATCTCTTCTATAATATTGAACTCTTCACGAAGGTTATAACTGTTCGAGCTCTTGAATAGATAAATGGCATATGCACAATCACTCTTGAACACCAATCTTTTAAAGAAGCTAAGGAGACGACTTGTATCATATTAGGTTCTAGCAATCTAATCCAGATATCTCGAGCTTTTGGGCAATAAACGAGCACATGAAGACTACCTTCTGTCTCAGCCCCACGCGCTTAGTTTAACACATTACTCTTTAAAAGCATAATTATTTAGCCCTACCGAGGTAATCAAATGTCTATTATGATAATTAAAACAAAACTCATCCTTTAAAATTGCTTACCATGGTAGAAAAATATTCATCATAATAAAAAAAATATAACTACTTTTTTGAAAAATACCATCATCATAGTAAAAAGGAGTCAAATTCATTAAATAAAAATCTTATCATGGTAGAAAAGAAATTTTTCTTAAATAAGAAAACAAT